GATCATACTCAAAACCACTGAATGGTACATTTTAAATGGGTAAATTTTATGGTATGTGAATTATATATTAACTTTTTAAGATATAAAAAGATCTCTTGGCAGTTTTGCTTCCTTTTATCTCCTTTGTTCACTCTAATTAAATAAGGTTGATGATTTTCAGGGTATGTGATCCAGTTTATAGTTTACTGAGAAATAATCAATTTACACGAACGGTGTTAAATTGATGTCAGGGGAGAAAATGACTTAGCAAAGAATACACCGGAGCATTAATTTATTCACCTTTGACTACGGTGCAAGCTCTTGAGAGCTGGTATGTTTACACAAGGATTGATTAGGGAAATGGTGCCCATTGTTTTATAAAGGAGCCCTGAATAAATGGTAAGTCATCTGAGGTGGCAATGGATCATACTGTAACTTCAGCAAAAAGAAGCAAGTTAAATATTTGGGTAAAATCTAACTTGAAATCAACTTAATTATTAAAGAGCTCAGTAGTACCCTCCTGACAGATAACTAAAAAAAAAAAGTTAAAAACCATAACTTTACCCTAAAAAGAAACGAAAAAAAAAAGAAGAGTCCTGACCAGGTAGTTCAGTTGGTTAGAGCATCATCCCAATACACCAAGGTTGAGGGTTCAACCCCAGTCAGGGTACATACAAGAATCAACCAGTGAACACATAAATAAGTGGAAAACAAATCAATGTTTCTCTCTCTCTCTCTCCTTTCCTTTCTAAAACAGACAAAAAAGACATGTCTGTTAAAAAAAAAAAAATTGACCCTACAAAAGGCGAATAACAAAGGCTGGTAAACCTAAAAGTCTATCTAGCTAGTCATTGGGCACTAGTTTTCAAAACCTTATCTTCTTCGTATGCTTGTTCAACAATAACCTTTGAGGCCGGAAGTTTTTCTGAAAGGGTTTACTGAGCCACATGCCAGCCGGAAAAAGCCCCAGGTCATGGGGCATGCAGTCTAAGCCAGCAGCAGCAAGGCTGGTCAGAACAAGCATGTACTCCATTCAGACTCTTTTATACAGGAAGTTTGGGGAATAACGACTTGAGTTGTTTTCAAACAATTTACATTGGACCGGGAGGTAAATCGGAGTAGTTCTGGGTTAGGCACATAGTCCGTAAAAAATAAGAAGTACTTGCTGCTAACCAATGGACATGGACAACGAAGCCGGGGACGGGGTGGGGAGTGGTGTGGGGAGGAGGGTGTCAATGGGGAAAAAAAGGAGAAACATCTGTAACAAAAATAATTAAAATAAATGTATAAATAAAATAAATACATACTTGGAAGTGATTAAAAAAAAAAAAAGTACTTGCTGCTTTTGGATTGGTTGTGGGCAACAGCCTGGAAAGTTCATGTGTAAACAAGATGGGGGGGTGGCATGTGGTGGTTGCCTCTTCTCTCTAAATAAGAGCAGAAAGGGAAGCCTGGAAGTTGATTCAAAATTTCAACATATTCAGGAAGATGAACAGACATTTGTTGGATTTTGGCCTTGGTTTTGTTAACTGATTAACCTCCCTTCTCTCTTTTCCATTCTCTGGCCTGCTGTAATTATGACATCTCAGAATTTGTATTTTGCCACAATGCAGCACCTGTCCCAGCTTCCCTGAGGGCTGCCTCTCCTACAGTGACTGAGCTGGGCTTCAGCCTCCACGTTTGGGACAAGACTTAACTGTCACCTACACATTCAATAACTTTTACAGAGGCTGAGAATAACATGCAAATGGACATACTTTACTTTTTAAAGAATAAAACAATCACACCCTGGATGGTTTGGCTTAGCAGTTAAGAGTGTCGCCTGCAGGGTTGTGGGTTCGATTCCAGTCACGGGCACACAGCTGGGTTGCAGGTTCCAAGCCCCAGCCCCAGTGAGGGTCATGCAGGAGGCAGCTAATCAGTATGTCTTTCTCACATGGATGTTTCTCTCTCTCTCCCTCCTCTCCTTCCCCTCTATCTGGAAATCAATGAAAAAATATCCTCAGGTGAGAATTAACATCAAAAAAGAATGAAACAATCACATGGTCAAAAATTGAAACCTTATAGAAGAATGTAAAATGAAAAGCAAGTCTCCCAGAATCCCCAGTTCCCTTCCCAGATGAGATCCTGGTTGAGTTTCTTGTGTAAATTATGACTTTTTCTTTCTAAAATGTTAATTATTAATGTGACAGGACTATTACACAGAATATGGTTCTGATGAAAGAAAAGTATTCCAAAGTCTGTATGGTTTAATCAGAAACTGAGGCTATGTTCAAATGCCAAATATAGAAACTAAAAACATTCCTGAAATCCAACACGGAATTTAGATCTAAATAGATTTAATTAAAACAACAACAAAAAAACTGCCCTGGCCAGTTTGGCTCAGCGATTAGAGCATAGGCCTGCGAACCAGAGAGACCCAAGGTTCGGTTCCCACTAGGGGGCATGTACCTTGGTTGCAGTTTGTCCCCAGCCCCGGTTGGGGTCATGTGGGTGGCAACTAGTCGATGTGTCTCTCTCACATTGATGTTTCTCTCTCTCTCTTCATTCTTCTCTATCTCCCACTCTATCCGAAGATAAATGCAAAAATGTTCTCAGGTGAGGATAAAAAATTTTTAAAAATCAGTCAGGCTGGTGTGGCTTAATGGTTGAATGTCGACCCAGGCACCAAGAGGTCACCAGTTTGACTCCTGGTCAGGGCACATGCCCAGGTTGTGAGCCTGATCCCCAGTGGGGGGCATGCAGGAGGCGGCCAATTGATGTTCTCCCTCATCAATGTTTCTATTTCTCTCTCCTTCTCACTTTCTCTCTCTCTAAAAAATCAATAAAGGAAAAAATGTTTTAAAAAAAATCATATCCTGGTCGGTGTTGATCAGTGGTCAGAGCGTCGGCCCACACACCAAGGGGTCTCAGGTTAGATTTCTGGTCAAAGGTATGTACTTGGGTTGCAGGTTCATCCCTGTCCCCAGTCAGAGCAGGTTCAAGAAGCAACCAGTCCATGTGTCTCTCTCACATCAATGTCTATCTGTCTGTTTGTCTCTGTTTCTCTCTCCACCTACTCTGTCCCTTCCTTCCACTGTCTCTAAAAAAATAAAATCAATGGAAAAGCAATCTATCCTCGGGTGAGGATTAACAAACAAAATAATAATTTAAAAAATTACACATTTTAAATTTTAAGTCAGATTTCAATTGATTTCTTTCTATCCATGGCAAAACAAACTTTTGAAAGAACTGTAAAAAATAACACAAGTTGGCAGTCACCTGGAAACAATTTATTATTAAATGGATTAAGTCCTAAATCCATCAGGGTTCAGATGAAAACAACAATACATAGCCACATGTATCAAATCAACAAATCAACAGCCCCTGGTAAAATTCCCAATATTCAAGAAAGATTTAAAAATAAATGTCCTGTTCATTTCAATGCTGCCTGTAAGCAGCTATCTCCCTTGATCCTTAGATGATAAGGTTAAGACTGACATAATTACAACTAGGAGAGGGGAGGAGGTAGAGAAAATGAAAACCTGGAAATCACAAGAGAGTGGGAAATTATCCAATTTACAGCAGCACTAAAAATATGCTATTTTACAACAAAAAGGAGTGACAGTTTGGAATATTAATGTCTATGGGTATTTTCGTTCCCAAATAGGGAGCACAGTGAATGTGGGAAATCAGATTTTTTTTCAATATTTCCAGGACCAAAGGCAACCACACATCTGGAGCTACTGAACTCTCCAATGCTTGAATATTAACAAGCTCTTCACATGATAATTATCTTAATATTTTAATTTTTTAAAAACTGAAATAGCCCGGCCAGTGTGGCCCAGTGGTAGAGCGTCAACCCATGCACTAAAGATTGCCGGTTTCAATTCCTGGTTGGGGCACATGGGGCCAAAACCACAACGAGGGTCACGCAGGAGGTGGCCAATAAATGTTCTTATTGATGTTTCTATCTCTCTCCCCCTTCCTCTCTCTCTAAAATCAATAAAGAAAAAAAAAACTATATAAAAAAACGGAAACAACCCTGTAATACCAATAAATTCAAATTCTTATTAATCAACATCTAGTTTTTACAGTCTATGAAGAGGTACATAATTGTGCCCCTTTTAAAGATGCAAATAATCTGTCCATCGTGTAAATGAAGCTCACCTGGTCTCAACAGGGAACACCTGCCCAGGATAAAAAACTGAGGGCAGTCAGAAAGGCAACCAACACTGCATTTCTGTTGCCAGCCATTCAGCCTGAAGTGCCTCTTTTCAACTGAAATGAGCTGTGTCCCAACACTTAAGACTACGTAAGTAGTGGGCTGACACACAGAGTCCATGCCATCTGAGAAAAAGGGCCTTTAGACCCAATGAAGGGTTGACGAACCTATTCTTTCCTTATTCTGCTGTTCTCGAGAAAAAGATTCCTCCGAGACAGCGGTTCTCAACCTGTGGGTTGTGACCCTTTTGGGGGTCAAATGACCCTTTCACAGGGGTTACCTAAGACATAACAGTAGCAAAATTACAGTTAGGAAGTGGCAATGAAAATAATTTTATGGTTGGGGGTCACCACAACATGAGGTACTGTATTAAAGGGTTGTGGCATTAGGAAAGTTGAGAACCACTGCTCTAAGGTGAATCAAGTCCAGTGGCTTATTTTAACTTAGAGCTGCTCTGGAGTTTCTAGTCACCTAACTGGATTCTCACAACTTGGTTCTCATCCTAACGGCACTCTGTGCCCCCCACCCTGCCTCGGAAGTTCCCAGGAAAGTAGATGAAACTAATTAGTAAGACACAGCCCATCAAAGGCAACGCAAGTATTTTACTAGTTGTGTATAAAGAAGATTCCCACTACCGTGGCAAAGGCTACAGAAGAAGTATTTTCACCACAGAGGGTTCCAGTCATTGTCCTCTTTAACTCTGTCCTCCTTTCTTTAGCTCTCTGCCCTGACAACCTCAGCCTGTCTTCACCATGTTTCTTCGCCCAGAGGCAAAGTATTTCTCTTCTGCTTATCTTTGAGAAAGGCTTATTTTTTGTGTGATTTACCCAACTAACCATTAAATCAGGTCTGTTGGGGCTAGGGTAAAACTAAACAAACAATCCTCTGTGCCTGAAAAACGGCTGCTGGGCCTTCCAACGTCATGAGATGCTTGGCCCAGCTGGGCTCTTCTATGCGGGGTCCTCTTCCTCCATCGTCACGTCGGCAGTTTTCTGCTGCTCTTCCTCTGGCCCTGCGGGCAGAATGCTTGTGACAGTGTGGAGGAGTGCTTCAATCTGCTCCTCCGTGAGCCGTTCTTCACTCTCTTCCACCATCTGCCAGAGAGAAAACCCGCCAGGGTTACAAAAGAGCCTTATAGGCTGGGCCACCCCAGGCTGTTCCCAGTCCCAGCCCAGCCTCTCAGCTCAGAGCTCAGGGCCTGGCTCCGGAGACACCTCAGGTCAAAATCGGTCAGTGAAAAAAGAGTTGCAGGTTAGCATTTTTCTTTAAAGAAAAAGAAAACCCTAACAGTTCTACCCTATATAAATATGAATATGTTGTATATGCAAAGAAAACACCTCTGGGGAGTGAAGTGGGGCTTTAGATACTTTTGTATTTCACAACAAGCTCACCTGTAAATTATAAACTGTATCAACAACTCATCTGATGACTGCCCACTGTGTCCCAAATAGTTTATATATTTTTTCTAATTCTCATTAACCCCACCAGCTCTTTATGGAGCTATGTGCCTGGTGCTGCACCCTACACTTCATAACTGTTATTTCTTTCTTTAATATTTTTTCTTTATTGATTTTAGAGAGAGAGGAAAGGAGAGAAAGAAAAATAGAAACATTGATGAGAGAGAACATCGATCGGCTGCCTCCTGCATGCCCATCACTGGGGATCAGGCCCACAACCTGGGTATGTACCCTGACTGGGAATCGTGCCCATCACTGGGGATCAGGCCCACAACCTGGGTATGTACCCTGACTGGGAATCGAACTGGCGATCTCTTGGTGCATGGGTCAACCCTCAACGACTGAGCCACACCACCTGGGCCCATTATTTCTTTTAACCCTCACAACAATCCTGGCAGGGGGCAAAACTAGAATTCCAAGCCAGGCCTACCCAACTTTCACACACTACTTGGCCTCTGTCATCTCCTGAGCATGCAGAACAGGAGTCTGATGCGTGACGGCTGGAAAACAACCTCACACTGCCTCATCGAAGATCCACCTATTAAAGCCTGGTTTCCGACATGGTCCTGAAAATCTGAACACACAAGTGATACCCACAATCATAAGCCCATTTTCTAAGCCTCACCTCTAATTCTCAATATGATAATGAACACAAACATAATGTATAGTTAGCCCCCTTTTAAAAGTATACAGGCAGTCAAGTTGTATAATCACATTCACTTGGTGGCATTAGCTGTCTACCACACAGTTTTTTCAACTAAAGGTCCTATTCTATGGCATTTCCTACAGCAATCTCCACCACCTGGCAACTAAGACCAAGAGGAATTCTAGAAAGAAATCCAGCAGATTTAAGTAAAGAAAGATGACTAGCTAGGCTTACAATCCTGAAATCAGTCTACTGACTCACTTTATAAATAACAGTCTAGAAACTAAAGAAATCAGGTGACACATCCAAGATCATACTGCAAACTCCTGACAAAACATTGGTCTCTTCATTCATCATAATCCAAAAATGTTTCCATGCCTAGAGAATAACCCTAGATATTCTAGGGTGGGGAAGATCCTGAGTGAAGCAATGAAACTACTTCCTATCATGCTGTGAAAGAAAATGTCCATTTTCTAAAGCTTTAAAGGCTCAATAAACTGTAATTTCTCTACTGAACAAGAAACAATCCCCAAAAGCCCGTTTTAAAAGTCAGACATGAAAACTAGGATCTGTGAAAGGCAGTAATCTAGCACAGACTGCCTCCAAAGAATGAAGAAAGAGGAAGGAGGGATCTATCCAATGTGATTTAATCCTGAGAAAGGATGATCTCCATTTGAGAGAAGAATGTCTCCAAGCTTATGAACAAAGCATATGCAGTTGATGGTGAACTGTTTCCTGCCTCAGGAAGAAGGTGAAGGAGACCTGAACTACTGTTAGAACAACGACAACCTCCCAGCAGTATCTGTGCAAACAGTTATGAAGGGCTTTCCCTGAATCACTGCCACCAGACCTCAAGAACGCTGCACATAAAGTCAGGACAAGATACAAATACGTGGAGGCTCAGCATTATAAGGAAACTCGATCTGGGTCTCACAGGAAGTAGGAGCAAGGTCTTTTGACTTTGCATCCCAGCTCTTCCTAGAACACCATGTCCCCCCAGTAGGAGGTTTCTATCATTTCCTCTCAGAGATGCTGTATGGCAGACTCGAGTCCACCGGTTTAGGAGTTTGGTTATATGACCTCAAAGAGGCCTTCCTTGTTAGAAAATCAAACAAAGAACTTCAACAGGCCATCTTCTTGCATCCCAATCTCTGGGTTTGGCAGACACACCACTAAGATTAGGTGTCAGCGAGGTGTTTTGGCAAAAGGGCTGATGAGCTTTCTATTTAGCCAAATTTGCCAGGAGCAGCTTTGATAAGCACACAACCCTCAGGGATAATTACAGTCAGGAATTTTTCAACCCAAGATTCCCAGTCACAGAAAGTAAACCTGTAAGCTGCATTAAGTAAAATAAAATATACACAAAAAGAAACTTTCAAAAACTAAAAACTTATTAACCCATCTTAGATCACCAGGGTAAATAACAGTAACTGTATTATTCTTCACCTTTTCTTCCCAAATAAATTGCAAAGCACCATCTCAACATTCTGACACCAAAGGTTTCAAGTTGTTCAGAATATAAAGGCAAATGAAATTTAAAAACCCAAAGTATTTGCAGATGAGTTTACATAAATGATGTTTTTAATCACATAGAAAGATTATATCGATACCCACTGTCAAACTGAGCTGATGAACTTTAAAAATGGTTGTTTCTCATTTTAAGCTGCCAGATCTAACCTCCTACTTTCCTCAAACATCTCAAAATCTAATAGTCACTGACACTTTTAGCTACCTGACCCAGAACCGTTCACTCAATCTCTATAAATTTCTTTTTTGAGACCAGTCATCTTTAACCTCTGTACATTTCAATTTTCTTTAATATAAAATGAAAGTAATGTGTATAGCCAGGACCAAACAAGAACAGACATTACAGTGTTTTGTAAGCCATAAAAGTCAACATATTTTATAATCACTACAGAAACTGGGTGGTTTCATTTCTTAACAGAGAGCAGACACTAGATGCCTGTGGGTCTCAGGATCCCAACAATCATAGCTGAGGTATAAGTGAAAAAGAGAAGCTTCAGCCTCAAAAACTGAACACTAACAAAGGTTAGATGCTGGGATTACTTCTGGACCCAGGGAAGCATAAACGGTTGTAAGGTTAACATGAGGAAATTCCCAAGTCCTTTGCAGTTTCCACTCTATGTGAAAACCTCATTTCTTATTCCACTCTGGTGAGAAGTACTGCTACAAGCCTTGGTAAATGATTTGCTATCTTTTATAGCCAAATCCCAGGCTGGGAAAACTCTGACTATAAAATGGTCCAACTACTGGGAAACAACATAGATGGTTTTTACCAAGGAAAGGAGAAGAGAACAAATAGTGTGAGGGGATGCAAAAGCACATGGCCTGGAAGAACATAGTAAGACTTCTGAATCAGACAGACCCAGATCAGCCACTCACTAGAAAAGACGATGGTGAGGGGTGAAAGGTGACATAGACAAAGCCCCTAGCACCACGTCTGGCATTTGGCAGGCACTCTTAATAGCAGCTAATCTTACCAAGTAATGACAGAGCTTTCTACAGGCTCTGGGATGAGGTCACACTAATCCTCCTCATCTCTTCTCCATCTGTCATTATGCCATGAACAACATATGTTGCTGATTAAAGTTGGAGGAGACATGTGATCTTTAACCCAGAGGGAAAGGTATTAGTTTCTTGCTGTTTTGTTTTTTCTCTTTTCTAAGTTGAATCTCCAACACAGTTGAAAGCATAATAATGAGGGTTTAAAAGGGAATCTTTATGTATCCTAGAGGTCAGTTACCCAAAAAGGCACCCTTTGTGTGGAAGAAATTTTTCTAACTTAATTTTGAGTACATTTTGAAGGACAGAAACACTACCACAAAGACAAAAAAATGTACTCAAAAATTAAATACCCATGACCCTTTAAAGAAAGAGGTGTGTTTTTGTCTGTTTTTAAATTCTAAAGATCTGAAGTATTTTTGGTCATTTTCTTCCATACTTTTCTGAAGGAAATTTGACAAAGAGCTATATACTTCTAAAACTGACTTTGGAAACAGTTTTATTCTCATTTTATTAATTCTTCAGCCAAAGTTTTTTACTGGCAGTTAAATGGCCTGCCTAATATTGGTAGCTGAATGATGCTCTCTGGTCTGTACAACTGAAGGGAACTGCCACAGCAGGCCAACACAGCAACCACTCAGCTGTAGCGCTGGACCTCATTTTCACATTCTCCTTCTGCCATCTCAGCTTCCTACTCCAGCTGCCTCCCACAATTCTGAAGCTTTGTGCTGTGACTGCAATTTAGACTTTCCAAGTGATGAGGCCCCTCTTAATGGCTTTATGCAGGGAAATAAGATAATCAAATTGTGGCTTTAGAAAGTGAACTATACAGTGGTATAGAAGATAGACTGGAGGGGGCCGGTCTGGAGGCAGGGAGAATGATGAGAGCCAAGCTGAGCTGAGAACCTCAAGAGCTGAGCTGAGAAATAAAGACAGAAAGTAATACAGTGCAGCAGGGAAAGGAAGAATAAGAGGAGATAGAAGCAACAGAACCTGGGGACTAACTAAATATGAGATAAAAGGAAGAGAATGACTTCCAGGTTCCTGGCTTAGCAAGCTGGGCCAGGAAGTGAGAGAGAAGGAGAGCACGTGGGAAAGTGCACATATGCTCCATTAACCAAGAAAAGAAATTCAGGAAGAACGGGTCAAAGGGTAGGAGTGGAGGGAGATGAATTCCAGCACAGTCATGTCAAGTCTAATGTTTTTATCCAACATCTGGGTTAGCAATAACCCTACAGGAAAGCAATGGCCAGAATCACATAAGACATCAGGTGAGACAAAGAGCTACCAAATAGAAGGAATTAAATTTCCTCCAGTCTTCTACTTTACCTAAGTACATACTAACTAGGATAAAATTGATGAGGTTTCCTTTCACTTATAAAATGGAGTGGTCTGACGATCCTTTCAAGATATGTCAGTTCCTGGCTTGTCTGTCAGTCTTTATAGCACGCTTTCTACATCTCAGACCCAGAAACCATCCCCCTACTGCCCCTATACACACACCAAGTTCAGGTCTCCTTCACTCACCAGCTGGATCTCAACAGCAGTCATAGGCCTGTGATTCAGCAGCTGAAGTTTTTCAGCTCTGTCAAAAAAAAAAAGAAGAAAAAAAAAGCACTTAAAACTCATACCCCTAAGGATCTTGATTCTTTATCAAGCTGTAAGGTAACAAATGGGAGAACCACTTGAAACATGGCCCTCAGCTTCTTCAACTATAAAATGAAACTCAAGGGTACTAATGTGTATTAGAATCCTATAGGGTATAGAGGCTTAGATTGTAAGAAATGTAGCAAATATTAGAGATACAGGTTTAATAAATTTTATTTGGAAAAGGTAAAAAAAAAAAAAAAAAAAGTTTTCTTAATTCAAATTATAGAAAGTAAAGATTAACAAAATCATCTTGGATGGTCATTGATTGAGAATTTCTTTTTGAGATTATGATTAAATGTTACTCAGGTTTGACCTATTTTCTTAGTAAACAAAAACGACTCTAAAGGGGCAGGAGTTGACACACAGTAATACAAGGTAAGGTCTTCTGCCCTCAAAGAGCTTACAATCCAATTGGGGAAAGAAGACACATAGAAGCAAATTTTAAAAAAGATTCAAGTAACAGTTGAAGATAGTAACTGCCATCTGTCACTGCTTAAGGGGTGGGTAAAATGTGTGGACTCTCAAAGATGACAGGACTTAAAAGAGAACAGCTTCAATTACCACCCCTGTGCAGATAACAATTTCTAAATTTCTCTCTCAATCTGACCTGGAGCTCCAGATTCATCTTTGAATTCAATTCAATAAATACTTATTGAGCTTAAAGATATTATAGAATTTAAAAAGTGAGTAAGCCACAATTCCCACAGTCATGTGTTTCAGGAAGCAGTGCAAGTTACCCAGATTCCCCACGCCTTGGTTTCATCGTTTGTAAAATATGCATGACTATATATTTACTATCTCACAAGGGGTGAGGAGGGATGAAAATCTTACCATTTATAGTGGCAGCAACTACCATGTATTGCTTACTTTCCATCAGACAAGCACAGTTAACTGTCAGATTTAACGGACACTGAGATGGTAAATAACTTGTCCAAAGTTACACAGCTAGTAAATGGAGAGCTGGGACTACCATCAAAGCTCATGTTCTTAACCATCTGCTTCTAGTCACACAGTAATTTCTCCATAAATGGTAGTCATTATTAAAGAAGTTGTAGTCAAGTTCTACTCCTCATAATCCTCAAACATTTACTCTAGACTTGAAGAGGAAGACTTCACAGAGAAGACCCTTGCACTGGGCTCCGAAGGATTTTCTAGGCAGAAAGGATAAACAAAATGGGCAGTAAGGCAGGAACAGCACAAATGAATGCCCAGAATTACAAAAATTCATGGAGCTTTAGGAGATGGCTCCTAGAGAGGTTATGGGACACATGGCCGAAAGAATTATCTGACCTGTGTGGCTCAGTGGACTGAGCATCGTTCCATGCACCAAGAGGTCACTGGTTCAATTCCCAGTGAGGGCATATGCCTGGGTTGCAGGCTCGATCCCCAGTAGGGGGAAAGCAGCCAACTCATGTCTCTCAGCGATGTTTCTCTCTCTCTCCCTCTCACTTCCTGTCTATCTAAAAACCAAAATATATTTTTTAAAAAAGACAGAGAGAGTCACCTGGGACAAGACTACAAAGGGCCCTGACTACCAAGAGGTTGTTACTTTGTAGACACTAGAGAGCAACAGAGGAAAGGACTAACATGCTCAGGCTGATGCTCAAAGCAATTCTGGAAGACCTGAGAAAATGGAAGCAAAGACACTGTCATACTCCCAGGTGAAAGAAAACAAAGCCGTGAACTGGGGCAGCAGCAGCAGGGATGGCAATAAGAATCTGGACATGTCAAATGCTCTTGGTCACCCTCAGGTACAGTCAGTCAACAGACCTGACAACTGACTAGGTTTGGTGGGGACAGGGTAAAGGAAAGAGTCAAAGTTTATTGTTAGGTTTTTAGCCTGTTTGGAAAAAATATATTAATTGAAATTTGAATTTAAGTTTGTGATACTTTTATTTATTTATCAATTTGAGAGGGAGGAAGAGAGAGAAAAACATCGATTTGTTGTTCCACTTATTTATGCATTTATTGGCTGATTCTAGTATGTGCCCAGACCAGATATTAAGACTGTAACCTTGGCATAGTGGGATGATGCTCTAACCAACTTAGCTACCCGACTAGGGCCAAACTGGCAGTACTTTCACAACACAACAAGAAGGATTCTACCAAGCAGATTGTCTAGTTTTAGTTCTCGTTTGGTCTAAAACTAAAGAAAAAGACCAGAGATGGATTTATTAGCAAGGAGTAATGTGAAACCATGATGATGGAGAGCATAGCCCAGAGACCAAATGCAGAGAAGTGAAGACCCAGGACAATACCATAAAGCACCTCCATTTAAGGGGCCAGGAGAGAAGGCAGCAAAGAAGACTAAAAAGGAGCAAAGAGAAAAAGAAGCCCTGGGAGAGTGCTGTTAGAGAAACTAAGAGAGGAAAAGTTCAAAACAGAGGGTAATTTCATTCAACAATATCAAATGCCAAAAACAGAAAAATAGGCTGGTAGAAGTCTCTAGATTTGCCAAAGAAGAGGGCAATGGTGGCCTGTGCAAGGAGTTCAATGGAATGACAGTTGTGGAGACAACTGAACTGTGGAGACTGAGGAAAAATTATGGAGGAAATAACCTCTTTTTTGGTAATAAAATGTCATCACTTTATTCAAATCTTCAAAATAGTCTTTTTTGGGGGGGTACGTGCCCCTAGCGGGAACCAAACCCAGGATTCTCTGATCCGCAGGCTGAGGCTCCAACCGCTGAGCCAAACCGGCCAGGGCATTCAAAATAGTCTTTATTCTACATTTTTAGTATAAAAATATCTGTTTGTGTTGATATCCTTTGTTCAAAACAAGTTCATTTTTCTGGCACCAAATTAAATTTGGGTTTGATTCATGTAGGAAAAAACCTGAAGAGGGTCCAAAAGGCACCCTCCACTTCGGCCTGAGGAGATGCAAATGCAGAAGTAAGGGCTCTGTGAGTAAGGCACAGAGGGGATTTCAGAAGATCCTTGTGAAAGACTAGTTTTTTGTTTGTTTATTTTAAACAAGCAGAGAGAAGTGCAAGGATAGAAGGAAGTTAGCCTGTCCGGTTTTATGCCCTGCACCACTGATTCAATAGAGGCTGGCGAGAGGGAATGAAAGACTAGGGCTGAAGGTGGGATGTGGGGCCAAAAATGAAAAGGAAAAGGCAGGCAACTAATGTGTTTCATTTAAAACAAGTGCTACACCTGGCCTGAGTTGCTCAGTGGTTAGAGCATCTGCCCACGCATAAAACAAACAAGTGATATAAACCAAACACTTAAAAAGAGATTAATAAAGACCAATCAGAATGATTTGGCAACTTTAACTCTTAGGAAGATCAAAGTTCCTTCCAAATCTAATTTGACATCTTATTACTAAAAGCAAAGACCAGTATGATACAGTATTACTCCAGAAGAATTAAAGATCCTTAGGGCTGCTTCCTCTCCATTCATTTTATAAATGGGTAGATACCTGCCCTACCTCAAAATGCTTTAGGGAGGTATTTCTACCATTACGTGGTTCCTTATAAAGTTTGAAAAGTGCCTGAAGGTTTGGGCACCAGAAGACACCAAACACGTGTCTAAACTGCAACTTCAAGTTAACATGACTTGCAGTTACTTTGTGACATGTGCTGAAGTTACCTGATGTCTTTCCTGGTACAGATGTGGCTTTGGGTCCTTATTAGATGGTATAGCCACCATCTGAGCCCCATGAAGAAGTTTCCCTTCCACTGAGTTACAAGGATACTGGCTCCCTACATGACTGCAAGCTGAGCAGTACTGGGAAGGCATCCTGGCAGTGGAGAAGGAATGTGAACCAGTAGCCCAGCTTCAAATCTGGCACTGCATCATACCCTCCTTCCACCAGCACTGCTGAACCAGGTGGGTAGATGGGACCACAGAATGGGCCATGGGAAGATACAGTGAGGTGCCAAGAAAAACAGCTGGCATGGTGGGACTGTGGCAGGCCATGGGTACACAAAGCTCAGATAATAGCACTCTGTCTGAGTACACAGGTAGAGCATCAGTATAGGGCAGAGTCTGATGAGGAAGCAAGGTCTGATGGTACACTGAATTCTGAGAAGGCGTGCAGGGTAGATTGGCTGTGTTGGATAATGAATGACCTTTGCTATTCATGGTGGCTGTAGGTCCAGTTTAGCTCAGTGTCCCAGACCAAAATAACCTCTTGACAGGACAGAAAATTTTTAAAAATTATAGCCTGAGGAGGGCAGGTTCTGGGAGACTGGAGCATGTTTGCCAACTAAGGAGACAAGCATGTGGAGGGGCTGAAATATCTAAGGGAAAAACCCTTAGAAAAACAGAAGTCCAAAGTTTCCGTGAAGGGGCTTGTGTTCTACTGAGACCATAGCAATGTGGAATGAAAAAGCAAATTTGAAGAGATGTGAGGGAACTGACTTCATTTTAGATCATTTTCTCATTGCAGCAGAAGTGACCATCTGAGAGGTCTGGATGTGAAGAGGGCTACCAGGACTATGTATATATAAGAAAAAAACATAGTATATACAGAGTTCAGTACTATCCATGGTTTCAGTCATTCACTTGGGGTCTTGGAACGTATCCCCCAAGGATAAAGGAGTACTACTGTAAACAAAACTGCAAATACTACACAGAAAAGCATCAGACTACCTCCTGATTCCACACCTTAGCACCTTATGATCCTTCTACTTAGACAACATTAACTCACCTGCATCTGATCAACTCTTCTTTTACATTAAACCCAGTGTAACCTCTTATAGACAAAATGTTCTACTCAAATTCTGACACTTCAGTGTCTCTCTACTATGTCTCTACTACGATAGCAGTTACATAGTATTCATATCTTTGTATCCCCAACAATTGAGACAAAGCAGGCATGAAATAAATGTGAAGATAAATTAAAGAAAAGGCTAGGGTAGCACTGAGTTCAAGAGGTTCAACAGAGAGACAACTGTTGAACACTGGGGAGACATGAGGCAGGATTCCATGT